CTTTTTGCTTGTTCTATCATTCATTAAGGTATATTAATGAGATACCTGATTTTTTTCTCATGAAAATATTACTCTCGTTTTGCTTGTTCTATCATTCATTAAGGTATATTAATGAGATACCTGATTTTTTTCTTATGAAAATATCACTCTCGTTTTGCTTGTTCTATTACTCATCGTTCGAACAGCTTGAAGGACGGAAAATAGCGTGAATCGAAGTGTTAGATAATGTTTTGCACTTGGAGTTCGGTTCAACAATATGTTGACCTTTCTTATAATTTAAAAGAAAAAAAATGTCCGTCGTACAATAGTTATGCACGCACATATATAATATCGAAAATGAAGAAAAGAAGAGAAGAAGAAAGACCACGAACAAAAGTGACATGAAAGAAAAAACATAAGAAAAGATGTCGTTCCTAACACGAAGGTAGAAAAATTATGCACTACAACACTACTTTACTTGATTTTTTGCCATCATTGCACAGTATCAACAAAATATTAGCATTTCACAAGCAATACTATACCGCTCAATACCATGATCCTGGTTGAACCAGCCCTAGGGTGTGGGTGCACATGTTTTAAAAAAGATACTCACACTCACCCTCTCATTTACTATGACAATCAACAAATCACAAGGGCAGATATTTGATCGATTGGAACCACTTCTACCGCAACCAGCTTCCAGCCATAGACAACTATATGTTGCTTTGTCAGGCGTTCGCTCTCTAACGTCTGTCAAGGTACAACTCATCGAAGAAGAAAAAAGCAATGAAAGAAATAAAATAAAAAATATTGTTTGTAAAGAAATTTTGTAAATGTGTTGTTTCAAAATAAAATCAATACTATTCAAGTAAACGATCAGGACAGGAGGGAGATGAACGTTTCAGTTACATCTCTGGTGATTTCTTCATCTTCAGAAATAACTTGGTTTCTTGGATAAAAAACGACCATGCAGTATGCACGGGTTCTTGCTAGTTTAGATACAAGACAACCATAAAGGTCTTTTTTTTTAAATCATTTAAATATCTTCATTTATCAGAAAAGCCAAGAAGGACAAAACATGACTGTTATTGTCGAACAGCGCTATGCTGTCGACTTGCATGACTCATAATGCATTTATTAGTATAAAATAATTTTAACTTTCGATTTATCAACAACAATAATATATGTCAAGATAATATAATAGCCTATTTGATTTCAATCTGAATTTAAAACGAAAAGTCACCAGTCTCAACCTAGAATCAGAGAATTTAGAAATGAAGGGACTGTCCTAAGACGATGGAGATTCGAGTACTTGGAGATTTTCTGAGAAGAGTGGGTCTTTGAGAAATTTAAATCTTGGTGATTTCACTAAGTCCACAAGCTTTCACCCTCCGAAGAAGACTCTCAAGTCCTCGAGTTTGAGACTGAGAAAACGGTATTGAGTAATGGTGGCTGTTCTATGCTGATTAAGCGTTATCTGTTAATTCATTTATATAGATGTAAGACGCTTTCTTGCATAATATGTTCTGAACAGTGCATTTCTTTTTTCTACTCTCCTGAGCCTCTCGGTCTTTCGGAAAAGAAGCCTGAGTTTCTTCGAATTTCAGTTTAAAATTAAAAAGCCCATAGACTTCTCAACAATAGAGAAGAAAATCTATCAACGCTCTCTGTCTTTAAAAAAAATGAATAAGTCTTTTGCATTTCTTGTTCATCAATAAGAAATATACGTGTTGATTTCTTTTTTCTTATTTTTTTCGTAACAACATATTCAACAGTAAAAAAAAGGGCGACGTGTCTACACGAAGAAAACAAAAATAAAAATAGCAAGAAAGCGGATGCTTTATATAATAAGGTAATTGATCATTCTCTTACTGGTATTTATACAGTTAATTCAATGCAACAAAAACTCACACAATAACTAATGGATGAAACGAAATCATCGACAGTTAACAATTTCGCTTGTGCAGAAGAAATGAAGCGAGCATCTGATTTAACCAAAGATGGAGGTGCGAGCAGGTGTATGAACGCACGAACGATACAAAACATCCTTCATTCCTATAACAACATCGGTGTGGTGTATAACGATATGAGCGAGTATTCAAAAACACCTTTGTATTATGAAAAAGTACTTGAAGTTCGACAACAAGCACTTCCTCCAAATCATCTGAATTTGACTGTTACCTATAACAGCATCGGTAATACATATTTCAAGATGGATGATTACTGAGAAGCACTTGAAATTCAACAACGATCATTTCCTTTGAATCATCTGAATTTGGTACGCTCTTATAGCAACATCGGCATGGTATATTTTGACATGCATGAGTACCCAAAAGCACTTTCATATGATGAAAAAGCACTTCCTCAAAATCGTCCCGACTTAGCAAGAAGTAACGCTCGTCCGTGTGATTCGCTTGGCCCTCGATTGAATATTCGGCTCTTTTGGCGTTATATATATATTGCTTTACGTTCTTCAACAAAGCTAGTATCCAACGTTTCAAAAGGATGGATAGGTGTGTGGACGTTGAAATTAGCGTCAATCTCGTTGTGTACAATGATATGCAGGTCCGTGTGATCATTTTTGTCATAAATTTATCTAATCAAATTGATACCCACATATTGATACTCAACAGGAATCTAGATGAACTACACTACGGCGGCCGTATTTGCAAGCTCCCGAAAAGAGAGATTATATTCAATTTTTTGACGGATCACGAAGCAAAACGCATTCATGGCGCCATTGTGAAAACGTGCCATACTTCTTGAAAATTCTACTAAAAATCCATATGCTTACTAGCACATCGGCCGACAATGTTGTTTGCTAGAGCACCGCTAGAAAAATACAAGTTCAGTTGAACTTCTAGCTTAAAATAAATTATATAAGATCTGATTTGTAATCCGAATATCATACTTGAAAGAAGCTCCTACTCGAGGTAGCCGCTGGACTCGACAGATAGCGGGCCCAAACTGAATTTTATATATGTTGTGCAGTTTTTTATTCTCTACAAAATGGTAAAAAAATATTTGAAAAAAAGTTTCTACTCGATGCGAAAAAGGATTTATACTGCCTAATTTTTTATGGTTTTTGATGGTTTTTCGATAGAAAAACGAATCTTTTTTGGAGTTTTTTTTTGTCATAGAATAATCCTAAAGCAAAACAAATGTGATATTCGGAATCAGCGTGAAAAACTGCATCCAACCATATATATTTCGTCCAAAAAATTTTTCCTAGCCAAAATGGACCTGAGGGGGGCGCCAGGGAGAAAAATTTCTTTTAAATATAGCTGTAGGGGACCACAGGTCAGTTTTGGCTAGGAAAAACTTTTGGGCGAAATATATATGGATGGATGCAGTTTTTCACGCTGATTCCGAATATCACATTTGTTTTGCTTTAGGATTATTCTATGATAAAAAAAAAACCTCTAAAAATGTTCGTTTTTTATCGAAAAATCACCAAAAACCATAAAAAATTAGACAGTATAAATCCTTTTTCACATCGAGTAGAAACTTTTTTTTCAAATATTTTTTTACCATTTTGTAGAGAATAAAAAGCTGCACAACATATATAAAATTCAGCGTGGGATCTCTTAATCCTGAAACACAGCACAAGTTATACTGTTTATTTGCACTGATCAAAAGGACCATCCCTTGACTCATATTCGCTCTATAAAACTTAAATTATTAGCCATTATGTTATATTAACCTAGCTTATTTTATTCAGCTCTCAATTCTCTATCTTCCTATGTATGCCATAAAAAATTTCAATGATTTGCTGAAATGCAAGCTAGCACATCTTTTATACAATATTTTTTCTTATTTTTTCGCAAAAAGGCCCGATAGTGCCAAAAGTTGGTCTTGACTAACTTTTCATAGGAAGAGTATTAGAACCTAAAATTTTAGGGTTAGTTGTTTTAGACATTGAAGTTTTGAATGAGCAAAAAAAATTGAAAAAAAAAATTTATCGAGTGCCTCGTATATTGGAGCGATGCTCGATCAGCTCATGGAAGCTCTCTTAAGATACTATCTCTATAGGAATACATGTTGGATTTTTCATAGAATCATTGTTGAAGAATACATTTTTTTTCTTAAGCACACAAAGCACATTTTACATCGACATGTGTTTCGCATCATTTTGAAGAAGTAACTCTAAGAAATCCGTTTTTATCTTGATTAAAATGCATTCAGCAGCGTTTTGTATGTGAAATGATGTGAAACGTGGCTTAGAAACGAAGCGTTTCATGGCATTTCGATAATATGAGGCTGCGAAACGCATTTTCTATGATCAAAAATACTGCGGAATGCGTTTCATTTCGAGAAAAACGGGCTAAAACGCGTTTCGCATTTCGTTTTCTTCAGTTTTTAATGCCATGGGTATTTGGTATTTTCATCGTATATAGAGATGTTAGCCGATCAATTTTTCGGCGGCGGCGGTGGATGAGTCACATCAAAATCAGAAAATTAGGCGGCGGAGGGGAAAAAATTCTTTGGGATAAATGGGCCAACCTTCGAATATTGTACTGTGAAGCAAAATAGCAAAGAAATATCTCAGTATTGGCGGCGGCGGCGAATAATCGGCGGCTAACATGTCTAATCACATAATAATATCAATTAACATCGTATATTGATACAGCAAGTCCACGATAAAAGACGTCTAGGTATGTACGTGCAGATAATGACGATAAATTCAAATATACTAGGATTGTATATGCATTGACATGCTCTCGAATCATTTTATAAGGATCATTCAATGTGTACAAATGTATCAAATGGTTGATATCTTTTGTTCGTAAAAACTTATCAAATGAGTTTCTCAATAAAATTTGATCACTAGGAGAAGTGTCACGTAAATTTTGTACTTTTCTAACAGGTCGTTCAAATGTTTCCTGACGTTGAGCTTCTGTCATTGCAATGAAAAAATAAATTATGGATGCTACTTTTTCATTTACAAATTTGTGAGGTTACTCACGCTGGCACTTGTTTATTGCAAAACTTACAATAAAACTAGACACAAAAATGTATTCATCGAAAGTTATTGCCTTAGTCACTTTAATCATCGCAGTCATCACAGTCATCACAGCCATTACAGCTACAGCAGCAACAACAGCGATTATCGCCGTTACTGCGACTGCCCGACCAACAGCACCAACTGTCACTGCTACCACAGCAGCTGCAATGATTATGACTATTGTTACTACTGTAACTATTACTGCTAGTATTATTAGAAGCTTTACAGCTATCGTTAGTGACACAGCAGCAGCAAATAGTACTAGACTCGTCATCGTAGCCGGATTTTCTACTTGACCGCTTTGATCTTCTACAGCAACATCGTTTATGTTTCTGTTTCTTTGTTCTTGTGTTTAATGTAGATGATGTCCACTCATAAGAGTCTACATTATTCCCGTTTGTGGGTTGCCGAGTAATTGGTTGTTGACTAGTCTTTCGGTTGTCAATGGTATTCGCATCTTGGCTACGTTCGCTTTCATCATTTCTCTGCTCAGCAGTTGTCAGAGGATCGACACGATATGAGAGTGCCGCTTGATTACTAGTCGGTACGTTTTTTTCAATAGAATAAATTGGAGATTGTCGTTGCATGGTTATGTTTAAGAGTCAGATCAGAAGTAATTATTATATAATGTACACGAAATGTGCGTTGAATTTATATATGTCTGCAAGAACATAGCAAAAAGTTCCATATTAGTTAGATGACTCATTCTTCATGTCATTATTGACAGAGTGACGTAAACCATGTACGGCTTCTTTCTTCTCGTCGATAAGAAATTGTCTGACGCAATCGTTTTGTTTTTACAGACAGCAAACGGAAGTTTGAGTCAATATGGTGAAAGATGTGTGGATGTGGTTATTTTACGTAGGAAACTTCTTTCAATGACACACTCTTAGAAAACAGGATATTGAGGATTCTTCATTTTTCGATCAATCCTTTTTGGCAAAAGTAATATGAGTGTGGGTATGGGGTGTGGGTAGATGTGGGTGTGGATGCGGGTGTGG